GCAACAATTTAACATGAGCCCTAAGAGGAAGGACCACACAGCTGTCATTACTGCATGCCATATATGGCATGAGAAGTACACTAGCAAATGTATAAATTCCACTTAGAGATTGCTCAGAGTTTTGTCTCACGGTTTCATCATTTAACATTAGAACACAGTCTTCTGAGGCCATTAAATATTATTCAACTACTTCCTGTGACTTCATGGTGCTTGGGTGTGTGTGTTTATATGCCTGTATGTATTACACTTTATCTCTTACGTATGAGGCTTACAATATTTTCTCTCTAGTAAATTAGGGAATGGTGCATGCCAAAGATTCAGAAAAGAAACATGTGATGATCAAGAGGAAGAGCCCTCTCTTAAGACCTAAGACAACTGACAATCTTTTGGATTATTTGTATCATATCTTTCAACATATAAATACATATTGCTAGATTTCATTTCACACAGAAAATAAGTCTGTATTAAAATTGGATTTATGTTTACAGTGTGGTTTGGATCACACCAGGTGTTTACTCTAAAAAATATTGAGGGGAATGAATTTACATGAATGCTATCAATAACAAGCCTTGTTGGTCAATATTTATATATACCTTATATATATAATAAGTGTATATATACACATAAATTTGAAAGTACATCCTCAAAGATTGATTTGGAAAGAAAGACACTGTTTTTATTTTGTTCAAATTTTTATACATACAACTGAAAGTGCATATTGGCTCTCCAGAATACATGCATTTGTTTGGTTCAATGTTATCACACGTGTTAGAAGTAGAGTAAAACACAATTTGTTTTGCCATTTCTCTTACCTGCTGTCAGCAAACTTTTATGGTTTGACCCTCAAAGCCCAACAGTTTGGTTTTCTCCCAAAATCACAGGCAGAGAATGTCTCTTTATATCAGGACAAAGACGAAGGAATTCAGGCTCTGTGAGGGTTGAAGGGAATGCATGGTGTAGCTATACTGAATGCATTTTTTTTTAAAGATTGTATACTCACTCCCCTTCCACACTATCCACTCTTGCAAAGGAAACAATAATGAAACTTCTAAGCTCTACCACCAGGACTTGGCTAGGTGGGATTGCCTTACACTTGCATCCACTGCCAGGCACATGGCATCTATTAAAGACAGTCAGCAAGAGATGATCACCACAGTTTTGAGCCTAAGAAATTCCAAACTAGGACCAACCATATTTCTAGCTTCAGATATGAGACATTCTCTCCATGTATGTGGCTGTACTCTTCCAAGAAAATGGTCAGGTCAAACTATCCCTCCATAGCAGGCGGCCCAGCTCATCTGGTCAAGGCTTCCGCTCGAAGTCTACTACAGCTGAAAGAGGAGGGGAGGTCAGAGGTCATTTCTGTCTTTCACAAGGCCTACAGCCATTGATACACGCTTCCCAGAGGAGCTCCAAAGCACTACTGCCTGCCAGTGGCACCAGTGTCCACACACCATCACTGAACTCAACCATGACCAGCCTCAAGGAAAGCTAGGCACAGGCGAGGATGTCATAAAAGCCAGTTCTCCACCCCTGGTTTTAATGGAAGATTATCTTTCAAAGTGGAATGCCTGCCTGGGTCCTCAGACTCCAGGAGAGGCCAGATCTGAAAAAGATCTTGAACCACTGGAAGGTCACAGCAGAGCACTAGACCAACATTACTGCCTTTCTTTAAGAATTCAGGTATGCACATAGAGAAAGTAAGAGGAATACCTGAGAAGAGAGGCACCCATGAAATTTTAGGCACCTTTCTAGATTCTAAGATTATGAGTCATGAGGTATCTGGAGGTCTGCATACCAAAAGGGTGGATACCTCGTAAGGTCATTGAGGAACCTTCATGCTTCATCATAGGAACTACCTATGAAGCTGGCACAGAGAAGAACACTAACTAGTATGAGGTAAATAATGGTTTCCTCAGGCCTGAAACGTACCATCCTTCTCAGGGGAATACCAACCAAAACAGGCCATCTCTCTGCCCTCCTCTCAAGAGCTGAGATGACATCAGGGTGCTGTCAGGACAAAGGAATTAAGCCTGGGCTGTACAACGAGCCTACAAAGCCACAGGAGCTGCTAGCTGTTGCGTTCAGAGAATCCCTCAAGGTCTTCATTACATTCGTGGTTTTCATCCTCTGGAGCAATTCCCTTCTGCGTTCTGGCCTACACTGGCACGTCAGTGTATGCCCATTCCTTCTATACAGGTCCTTCTTGCTCCAAGCAATGGTACTCTAGACTTTTGGTTGGCCTCAACTCCATCAGTAACCTTGCCTACATATGGTACTCGGCATTGGCCTGTCCATTGTGCTCTGCCTCTGCTGTCACAACGCGCCCAGGCCCTACCACACAGGGATAACCAGCCTGCCTAAACCCCCAAATGGCATACTCAGAAGACAAACGCCCTCCGGGTCCACAGGCGGCTCTAACCCCCGCCCACACTGTTAGGAAACTGAGGCCCCGCCTCCCTGCTTCCTGTGCCTGGACTTCCTGGCAGCAGCTGGCTGGGTCCTGGCGTCTTACCTACCAGACACTACGCCGAGACTCTGACTTTATCCACTGCTCCTGCAGGCCACAGAGAGAAAGGTAGGGAGGCCAGGCTTGGGTCCAGGACCTCTTCGGCCTCCCACTAGCCCGACCTCCCTCAACAGCTAGGCCTCATATGGAGGAGCCGCTCAGGGCTTGCGATTTCTCAAACTACCTCCGCACGATGGCAGTATGGTCACGGAAAAGCCAACCGGCTCCGCTCCGCGCATTCTCCTCCCGCCCTTCGCGTTTGAAAAAACGCCATGAAGAGAAAAGGATGCCATGAAGAGAAAACGAAACCCGGAAAATATCGCTGGGTTTGAGGAGACCTCCCCATCCTCTTAGTCTTCTGCTTTCTGTTTCCATGGGATAGCAAACCGAGATCTAAGCCACCCACCCTCATCAGGCATCTTCTCTCTTCCAAATTTCAATTTCTACTTGACAAAATATATATAATATGTTATATAATACTATACATAATATTTAATGTCATATGGTAAAATACATATATAGTATATAGTTATATACTACAGTATTATATATAGTATTATACAGTATTAATATTATATAGTGTATGCTATATATATATATATTATTCGTCTGTTTCTCTGGAGAAGTCTAATTCAGTATTTTCCAGTTTTCCTTATGTTACTGATTTCCACTGTAGTCAGAGAAGACACGTTGTATGATTTCCATCTTCTTAACTCTATTGAGACGTATTCTAGTCTAACATTCCGTCTATCCTGGAGAATGTTCCGTGTATATTTGAGAAACGTGTATTTTGCTCATATATAATCTGTTAAGTCTAGTTAGCGTAGAATATTGTTCACATTCTCTATTTCCTTAATGACTTCCTGCCTAGTTTGTAGCCATTATTTAAAGTGGAGTATTGAAGGCTCCAACTGTTTTAATAGAACTCTGTTTTTCCTTTCAGTTTGGTACAGTTTTTGCTTCATAAATTTTGGGACTTTTTCATGAAGTGTGTGTGTTTATAATTGTTACATCTTGATAGATTGAAACTTTTATTAATATATAATGTCCCTTTTTCTCTCCTGGAACAATTTTTGTCTTAAAGCATATTTTGTCTGTTATTAACTCTTTTGTTTACTATTTGCATGGAATATGTTTTTCTATACTTTTATTCTTAACTTATGTGTAAATTGGATCTAAAGTGAGTCTCTTTTAGACAGCATATATTTGGAAACTGTATGCTAACAAACTATAGTTTGTTAGAAACATTTTGCCAATCTCTGTTTTTAAATTGCAGATTTTAATCTATTTACATTTAAAGTAATTACTGGTAATGAAAGATGTCATTTTGCTATTTGTTCTCTTATATGTCTTACACATTTTTTTCCTCAACTCTCCAATGACTATGTTCTTTTGTGATTGATTGGTTTTTTTCTAGTGTACCATTTCTATTTCCTTCTCATTTCCTTTTCCATATATTTGAAATGTTTTCCTTAACAGTTACCCTGGGGAATACAATTAATTTCTTAACACTATAACAATCATTTTGATTAAATAACAAATTAGTGTTGATAGTATATAAAACCTGCTCCTTTACAGCTCCAACATCTTTTATGTTGTTTTCCCAAATTACATCTTCAAACATTATATGCCCATTAACATTTATAATTATTGCTTGGGTACTTACCATTTAAATCATATAGGGCAAAGAAGGAGTTACAGAACTACAGCACTTCTGGCTTTTATATGTATCTATGTAGCTACCTTTTTCCTTGTTCTTTATTTCTTCATATGAGTGAGAGTTACTGTCTAGTGTCTTCATTTCACCTTGGAGGCCTCCCTTTTGCATTTCTGGCATGGGAGGTCTACTAGGACCAAACTCCATCTGTTTCTCTTTTCTACGAATGTCTTAGTTTCTCCTTCATTTTTGAAACTTAGTCTTGCTGGATATGGAATCCTTGGTTGACAGGTTTTTTTTTCTTTTAGAATGCTAAATGTTATCCCAACGCCTTTTGGCTTCCATGGTTTCTGAGGAGAAATCAACTGTTAATCTTATTGAAGATTGTATATGGTGAGATCCTCTTGATGCTTTCAAGATTCTTGCTTGGGCTGTGGCTTTTGCCAGATTGATTATAATGTGCCTTATTGTGGATCTTTTTGTGTTTATCTTACATAGAGTTTGTTGAGCTTCTTGGATGTGTACATTCATGTCTTTTATCAAATTTGGATTTGGGGCCGTTATTTCTTCAGCTATCCTTTCTGCCCCTTTGTCTCTCCCCTCCTTCTGTAACTCTCATTATGTGTAAGATGATATACTAGACGGTCTCTTAGGCTATGTTTATTTTTCTTCATTATTTTTCCTTTCTGCTCCTCAGACTGGTCAATCTCAACTGACCTAGCTTCAAGTTTACTGATTCTTTCTCCTGATTGTTCAAATCTGTTGTTTGAATATTCTAGTTAGTTTTTCATTTTAGTTATTGTACTTTTCAGTTCCAAAATTTCTATTTGATTCTTTTTTTTTATAATTTCTATCTCTGTATTGATATTTTCCATTTGGTGAGATATTGTTCTTCTGGTTTCCTTTACTACTTTGTATTTAGTTTCCTTTCCCCCTTTGAGCATATTTAAGAGTTGATTTAAAGTCTTTTCTAGTAAGTCCAATGCATAGGCTTTGTTCTAGATAGTTTCTATTAATTCCTTTTTTCCCTATGAATGGGCCATACTCTTGTTTGCCTGACTCATTTTTTGTTATTGCAAACTAGGCACGTTGAATGTTATAATGTATTAATGCTGGAAATCAGATTTCTAACCTCCCTTACCACAGGTTTTGTTGATTCTACTTATGAGTTCTTGTTTGTTTGGTGACTTTCCTCAATTATTTTTGTAAAGTCTATATTCTTTGTCATGTTTGGCCACTTAAGTCTATGTTCTGTTAGCTTAGTGATCACTTAATGTTCTAACAAACTTTCTTTAAATGTCTAAAACCTAAGAAAAATATTCTCAGTTTTTGCAGATTGGTTTTATATTGGGGAACTGTCTCAACAATTATACAGGCTGTTCACAACTCTACCTAATCCTTCACTTCCAGCTTGCAGGGAACCTAAGGACTAGTGGAACTTGAGAGCTTAGGGTCTCCTCAGACATTTTCTGAGCAGTTATCCAGCTCTGGACACGTCTGTGGTTTTCTCGTTTCTCCAGTACATGCAAGAACTTTTAAAATTCCTTGTTTTCCCACAAATCTTCTTTCACAGTCTCCTCCTTCCTATGCTTTTCCATCTGTCTGTTGCTTGTCTTGACTATTGTCCCTTGCTCCAGGCTGCTCTGGCCAATACTTGTGCCTTTAAATTATTTTAGTGAATGTCTTTCTGGAAGACACAACAGCCCTGGAAACACTCCAGCTAAGTTGAAGGCAAGCTCTTGCACCAGTCCTTGAGAGAACCTCAAGACAGGTCAAAATGGACAACCACAGTTCTTTGAGAATAAAGTCCGTATTGCTCCCTTGGGCACTAACGTCATTCACCAGGAGAACAGAGGCCATCTTTAAGTCAGTGTGGTGATTGGGAGATGGTAAATGGGGAATTTAAAATACTACAGCACTCTCTCACTGCAAAGTAGTCACTTTTTTCTCCACCAAGCCTTCCTTGGTTTTCATAAGTTTTCAACTAGATCTAGAGTTCTGGATTTTTCTGACAGGTTTTGTCAGCTCATTAGTTGCTTTTGTGGAGGGATGGAGCACTAGAGTTTCCTACTTCACCATCTTCAGTGGCATCATTTTTGTCACCTGTTTTCTCATTTCTAGAAATAGTCATGCTTTTTTACAACGTACCTGCTATGAAAGACGTGCATGAAGTAAAGCAAGGTCGTGGGTCATGCTACCTCTGGCAGGGAAGGATTTTAAAATGTGTATTTATTTTCAATCCTTTTCACTCTTTTGGTCCCTATCTGTTTTTTTACATCTGCTCCCTTAGAAGTTTTAACACTTCTTGGTTTGGCTTGGGGGTCCCACTCCTCTTCAGGCCCTCTGAACTCCAGGTAATGGGCCTTTAAACATTTGAGTGTATCTGAGAACTTCAGCAAGCACTCTTGCCTCTGTTATATGCCACCTGGAACTGGCCTATCCTTGGTGTTCTGACACTGCTGCCACAAGAGATCCGTGCCACATAACACCAGGATAGCACTTGAAAGCCTGCTACCTTTCACTTCAAGGAGGAACAACAGGAGACAAATGCCCACAAGAGCCTGCATTTGTCTTTCAGTGGATTTCTCTAATCCAGTCCACACTGGGTAGAAAACAAAGCCTTGCCCATGACTTCCTGTGCCAGAACCTCCTGGCAGCTGCTGGCTCAGTTCCAGCTCCTTACTCTCCAAGTTGTACACCAAGATCCCACCAGTGTTCAAGTCCCTTGTAAGGCCTCAGAGAAGAAGGCAAGGAGCCCCAGCTTAGGTCCAAGCCTGTTCCAACTTCCCATAGGTCTGACCTTTCTCAACTTTTGGCTTCACGGTAAAGTAATGGTTTATGCTGTTTTCAAACTACTTCCGCACGATGGCAGTAGTGCTCCATATGTGCAAACAAGCCCTGTTTTTGCGCTGTCATCCCCCGCCCAACCAGTCTGAAAAAACGCCATGAAGAGACAAAGTTACCAGGAAACATGGCTGCCTTGTATTTTGCCCAGTTTTACGAAGCCTGTTCACACTGTTGTTCTTTTGCTTTTGGTTTCCATCTGAAATCAAAACTGATACCTAAACTACTCATCCTGATCGAGCATCTTCTTTTGCAAGAACTCGATTTCTACTTGACTCTTCTTCACTCAGCTTTGCATTTCATGCATTTTCTCAAGATATCAAGTAGCCTGTTTCTGAGGGCAAGTCTCAAGGAGCCAAGCCTAAGAGGAAGAAGAAAATTGTGGAAAATCAAGAGCAGGATTAGGGTATTTCTAGGCAACAACAATTGCTAACAATTACTGAGTATTTACAATAGATGTCCCAGTGAATATTCCAAGGATCTTGATAAGGATTGACACATTGATTTTTCACAACATCTCTCTGGATAACTAGTATGATTCTGGCCGCTTAATAAATGAGGAAAGGTAGCATAGAAAGTTTAAATACCTTTTCCAAGGTCACAGAGCTAATGATAGTTAGAGAAAAATTTTAAAATCAGATTAGCCAGACTTCAGAGCTCACAACCTTAAGCACATGGGAGGTAAGCTGTAAGCTCACTTTAGTGGCACAATGAGGAAGCCTCCCAGGTTTTCCTGGTTCTCTTGCATTCTCCAAGCCTCAGGTGCAGGAAGGACTCAAGTAACAAGTTCAGTTCTATCTTGGATCTTGGCATACAGGAACAATGGGTAAAAAGGAGACAGACTCGGTTGACCTTCCAGTCATTAGTTCACTTGTTTCTAAGGTGAAGCCCTTTCCACAATCTGTTGCTTTTCATCGCAAGCCTTGAAACTTCCCAAAGCCCCTGTAAGTTGATTTTCTTTTGCTTAAGCAGCCCAAGAAAGAAATTCCTACAACGGCCCCACTTACACTACCTGTAGATCCAAGGACTCCTTTGGCTCAGAAAGAGCAGATAAATTAGAATTGGGAGTGGAGAGGAATGGAGTCACATTCAGATCCCAATTTTTCGAAAATCAGGAAAATGTTGACATTGTTTAATTGTATATATGGGTACATGTGTGTTGATATTACTTCTGTATTTTTCAGTATGCTATCATGGTATTCATCTTGGCTATTTACCAAATGTTTCCATTACTCCTCCTGCATACCGTTGAGTTCAGTGATATTTGGCCAAGGGATGGAGCCAAACCCACAGATCTGATTACGTAAATACCCTAAACCATCTCTGAAATCCTACCAGAACACTCTATGGCAGGACATAACCAGGACTCATAGAGCAAAGTAACCAGATTATGTAGTCAATACAGGTCAGCCATTTGAGGCACAGGGAAGAAGTGGAGAAAAATGAAGACTGGATAGAGAGAAGGAAATAAAGATAGCCCGCAGAAAAAAAATTCCAACATACATTGTTATCCAACTTGTATTAAAAGAAAAAATACATACAGATTATAGTAACACTATAGGTCACTTTGTGTTCACTTATCTGAATTCCATATTAACTAAATACTCTATCCTGAAAAAAGGCTATTTTTCATAAATAGGAAAATACCTTTTTTCATATTTAAAGCATATTTTGAGATAATTAAAGTATGCTGTCAAAATGCTCATAAAATACAAAAGGGAAAAGTGTATAAAATGAAAAAATATGCAAGAAAATACTCAATTATTGTAAACATGTATGTATATATGTAAATTGAAATGTATCAATATATTTAGGTAAATATAAAACATGGTAGGGAACGGATAAAGATGCGATCAGTGTTTGTCCCAAGATTGTGGAATTACCAGTAAAGTGAACATTCCTCTTACTTTGCCTTGGGAAGTCACAATTTACAGCAGTTTTCCAACTTGAACAATAAATTATATAATCCCTTAAGTAGAGTACATAATTTATATTCTTTACTTAGCCACCAAATTCATTATTAAAAATGCATCATTTCTGTATTCTTATGAAGCATTAATGCTTATGCCAAAATTAAAATAAGAATATGAGGCATAAAAGTGTAAACATACAAAAAAAAGATGATAAAGTTCAGTTTTAACATCTAAGTTCAAAACCTCTGTAGAGCTTGACTCTAATTTCCTTAAATGAAAATAACTAAATATGAATATTTATTTTGGGCATCATGTTTGAGCCACTGAAATAGTTACTAGTGAATAGTTACCACTGAAATAGTTACTAGATCGCCATCTGGAAAGACATTTTGAAAGTTACTAGTGAGCTCTCTATCTGGAAAGAGATGCCATTTTGGTTACTTTCTAAAATATGTGAGAAAATGGAGGACTCCATAGGACCTTGAGAAATGAGTGAAGTCAAGAACCACAAAGTCTAATGTCTGTATGGCCATCTGTATGGCCTCCTGGAAGCTTTGAGATTCCAGCAATTTTCTTTCCTCATGCATGGATCTCTGAAACTTGAGCCCTGCGTCAGAAAACTTGCAAACACGGAAAATCCTACAGATGGAATGTTGACTTAAAAAGAGGAGATCTGCAAATTCTTGGTCTAGTGGAAAGGGAATTCATGAAAAGATGCCTTATGAGGGTGGGTGGTTTTAGGTCGCATTTCGATTTAAAATGGAAACCAAAAGCAAACATGTAGCACTGTGGGCAGGTTTCCACAATCTGCTTTTGAGGCAAGGCAGCCATGTTTGCCCGCGCCTTTGCCTCTAGGTGGCGGTTTTTTTCAGACTGGATGGGCGGGAGAAGAGGACCTGGGGGCAGGGCTGGTTGGCTTTTCTGGAGCCATACTGCCATCACGAGGAAGTAGTTTTACGAAAGTCAAAGCTGTTAGCATGAACTACCCTCAAATCTAGCAGTTAAGAAGGATTTGGCTAATTCAAAGGCTGAATGCGCCCTGACCAAGCTGCGCCTCCTTTACTTGAACACTGAGCCTTTCCAGGAACTCCAGACAAAGGAAGAATGTTGGTGAAGTTGCTGAGAGGGGCAGGACAGTGACAGGGCTTCAGTTTCCTCCCACTGTGGGCAGGACTAGAGGAAACCACTCACAGCCTCTGCAGAGTTTCTGGGCATTTGTCTCCTGTCCTTGCCCCTTAGAGAATGAGGTAGCTGGGCTGGCACAAGGTGTCCTTGTACTCTGGGGCCTGGGCCCCCTGTGTGAACAGGGTCAGAGTTAGGGTTGGGGTTGGAAATCTCATTCCATGTGACATCTAACAGCAGCCAGTCTACAATCTGGAGTTCTCATGGACACCCAAAAGTCTGGTGCCCCCATTGCCTGAAGCAAGGATGGCCTAAGGAGGAGTGTGTGCCACCCTGCCATGCCAAGCCAGTAAACTCCAGAACATCAGTAGGAGTGTCAATGTACACAAGCAGATGGAAAGCAAGAATGGAGAAGGCCTGGAGGTATTTTCTGAACCCAGTAGGTAGCGACTTTGCAGCTTTTTTCTAGAGCTCAGTGTGAAGGCCTGCCCACTTAGAGGGACCTGCTCTCATCTCAGCTCTCATAAGGGACAGAACTGGGTTCTTTAGTGGTTGGCTTTCCCCTAAGGAAGATGAGACCCTTGAGGCTTGGGACCTAACTGTTCGTTCATATCAGCAAGTATTATTCTCTGTGCCTGCTTCTTAGCCTTTTACTGATGAAGATTCCTTGTAGGCTTGACAAGATATCCTCCTTTGGCAAGCTGAACATATCGGGACCCCTGAACACTTGCCTCTTTTAGTGCCACTCACTCTTCTGTACCCGAGATGATTTTAGCATATAACCCTTTAGAGAACGGCTGAGCAATCCATAGAAACAAGCATAGGTATTTTGATCTTCTTTCTTCTGCTCTCTCTTCTAAATCTATTTCATTTGAATGTTTGCACGAGTGTGTGTGCGTGTGTGTGTGTTTGTAGCTCCCATGAGATTGTTAGTATGACTTTAGTGTGAGAATATCTTTGGGTTTTGAGTGTTTTCCTTCTATCATGCATTTCCCAGTCCTTATATCACAAGGCCACCTCACATCATTAAATATCCTTCAGAAGATTGGATTTTGCGTTACTTAGAAGTTTGCCCAAAGATTTTGTTTTCTTCACTATAAAAAGTGGCCTTTTTCATTCCCATATGTAAATAGAACTATACAATCTTTTTAGAGAAACAATATCTTACGCTGGAGGCTATTTCAAAAGCCTGAGGGCTTTTGGTTTCTTGATTTCACATGTAAATCTGGCTTGTTAATATTTCAGATTCAGACATGTATAAAATTAAAACCTGATAGTATAACCTTAAAAAAATTACTCCGGCAAGGTAGACATGATGAGTAGCTTGCTTAGAAGCCTTCCCTGGTGCATATTCACTCTTTAGAATTCACATATATTTATGTATTCAACTTTAAGGTAACAATACATGTAATAAGGAGAGACTTTATTTTTCCCTTTCTCTTTTCTTGTATTAGCAAACTAGGATGGTTTGATCCTAAAGATTCAACAATTTGTTTTAATCCCTAATCAAAGATGTGAGATATCTTTCCTGATCAGGACACAGAGAATGGAATTCAGTCTTTGCTGGGACTTAAGAGGACTACCTGGTATAGCTGAACCATGTGAGAGCCAACCTGTCTGAGAACAATAGGTCCTTTTCTCCTCCTCAATGAACCTACTTTCTCTACTCTCTTGTCTCCTACAAGAATGTGACTGTGTGATCACTTTCGAAAGGCAGTGTCTCTGGGCAAAAGGCTTGCTCATGTGAAAGGTTAACTGATGCACACAATTGCCCTCCAATGAGTTGAACCAATTGACAAGGCTTCCCAACTTATAGGAGCTGGTCTGTTTCTACAAATGACCACATAAACTAGGCAATATAGATGGTTTCGTTTTCAGCAGCTTGCTCAGGATATATTCGTAGGGAGGAGGAGATAGTTGAGAACTTCTTGAATTGTAATTTACTTGGGTACAGCGGAATTTGGGAACCTCTGCCAATAGACTTTTCTATTTCATGGCCTTTTTCTTCTGGGAAGTTTATGCTCCATTGTCTTTTCCCTTTCCTGCTAGATTGTTTTCGTTTAGCTTTTTATTTCGGAACAGCTAATGATCTATAATGGATGTCAATGGTTGAAGGGCAGTAAACGCTGAAAATAGTTGTTCTTGGTTTCCAGTTTTTGCTGTTCTTATTATGCCTAAAACACTGAAATTCAGCTAGGAGCTATTACCTTAGGCTTCCATCCTCTCTCAGTGTACTTGGCCTCTGTTAAGGACAGCTGGGATGAGATGAACAGAATGTTTTTGAGCCTGAGGAAATCCAGAGCTGAGGCTACCTCTGGCGTTGTCC